ACAGATTCCCATCTAATTTCCCCACTTGATAATGTACAAAATACCTAGAAATATTGTATTAATTCCTTGACATTTTATAGTGGGTTCACAGTTTACAGAAATTGCTGAAGAGAAAGTGAAGACCTTTTACTAGCATGTTATTACAGAATGAAGTCATCTATTTCTGCTCCAGTTCAGTGAGATACTTAATTTGTACTTTGAACCTGTTCTTAAAGACTTGGGTAATTTTGGATCCGGCTCACAAGTACAGGATATCTTCTTTTAATTTCTTTGAGACACTGTTTCAAAGAATAGTCATAGACCTTACATAGTAACTTTTGTCATAAATCCCAAAATGTTTTGTAGTGGAGACTCATGTCAATATTTTCATTCTATGGTTTCTTTTACCCAATTTCATATGCAAATGTGCATATTTAGTTTCTCTTCAGTGTGGGATAGAATAAAAATGAGATTGTAAGAAAAAGAAGCAAAAAGAAACTACTAAGAAAAAAACCATCAGACTTAAGACAGGTGATTTGTTCTCTCAGAGTAGGTTAAGTAGTAGGAACACAGCACATCCCTTTCCAAGACGAAAGCAAACTGAGACTGACGAATGTTTAGAATTTCATTCAGTGTATTAGTAGAAGGTGTGTAAATAGCAGAAGCTCAAAACAATAAATTACTACAGCTGGGTAACAACAGAGAGTGTTAGGATGATTTTTGCTTTTTTTTTGGTATCACTACCATTTCGTGGAGTGTCTTGGTGAAACTAAGGAAGGCTTTTTCCTACTGATCAGTTGCAAGCCAGGGCTCATTAGGGAGCTGTATTGGGGTCATACATGAGGTGATGTGGGAGCATAGTGGCCTCTGCATTTGGAAGTGCTGAGCACCAATACAAGGTAGCAAATATTATTGTTTTCTGGGTAGCTGAATGAAAATTTTGCTTAGAGGTCCACAGTGAAAAAGAAAGAATGGAAATACCTGCTTTTCAGAAAGTGATAGCAAATTGTCGATTTTGCTGAACAGAAGTTGACTCACATTTTCAGTGCCATCTTCAATTTGAATTATCCCACTGCAAAATCAAACAGAGAAACGATTTAATGTGAGATGAGTTTGAAAAGATTGGACTGTTTATGTATGTGTATAACCTGAAAGTTATAAAAAAGATTATTTTGATTTTGTCTTTTCTCAGAATAAAAGAAGAAGAAAAAAGTACAAAATACTTTGAAATTGGAAATCATACTGAATGTAATTTTTAAAGGTAGTAACTATGCTGTGGAGGTCTCCAAATGTAATAAAGTTTGCACTATAGAGATAATGAATTCTGGGATTCATTCTTTTTTGACAAGCATGTTTTTCTATGTGCAATAAAACTATCTCCCAATCTGGTATTATCCCAGTTTCATCTGGGATAGGGTTAATTTCTTCTCAGTAGCTGGTATAGAGCTGTGTTTTGGATTCAGCATGAAAATAATGTTGATAACAGACTGATGTTTTGGTTGTTGCTAAGTAGTATTTATCCTAAGTCAAGGACTTTCTTTGTGCCTCATGCTCTGCCAGTAAGGAGGGGCACAACAAAGCTGGGAAGGAGCATAGCTGGGAGGCCAAAGGGATATTCCGTACCACAGAACATCATGTCCACTACATAAACTGGTGGAGTTACCCAGAAGGGGGGCCAGTCTGGGTTCAGGGACAAGGTCTGGCAATGGTCAGTGGGTGGTGAGCAGTTACATTGAGCATCACTTGTTTTTCTTTGTTATTTCCTTTTGTTTCAATTATTAAATTGTTCTTATCTCAACCTACTAGTTTTACTTTTGATTCTTCCCCCCATTCCACCGGGGTTAGGGGGTGAGCAGGTGGCTGCATGGTGTTTAGTTGCCAGCTGGGCTTAAACTACAGCAGGTATGTATAGTGATATGTGTAGGGAGAAAACACAGAAGATATTCAGAAGATTGTGATCATTTATATGTAGAAGATTATAATGAAAACATTATAATGAAGTATTTACAGAGTTAATGCTAGGTATGCATCTGTTCATCATTTTTTTCAATAGGAGAGGCAGGAATAAGTCAGTAAAAATACATACAAAATATTTTGTGCCACTTCACACAAGCACATCACTGAAGCAAAAACCCTTGTACAGAAATGTGTGTGTTTTGTATAACAAGAATTTATTACATAGATATTTTTGGTTTAAGGGAAAAATATGCTTCAAGTAAAAATGATCTCTTGTTTATAAGGCTTAGGAAAAAACTTCCCTGATAGGTACATTATGCATTTTTGTTTTAGAGAGTTGTTTGATTTAATTTAAATTTTCTCAGTATCTCATAGTGTCTCATAATGTCTGTTGTTACAGAGAAAATTCCTGTCTAAGGCAGACCAGCAGTTAGGTTGAGTTTGGTCATACCCATTTTTCTATTAGAACTGATCTCATTTTCTGCTGGTACTGTGTGTAACTCAATTCCAAGCTAAAATGTTTTTAAAAGTAGTAGCACGTCCTTGAGCCAGGTAATTTACCTAAATTTCATAGTATAATTCATGTTACTTGGAGTCAGAATATTGTACCCAGATTGAATAGGCAATCCTCCAGAGTGGATAACAAGACCAAGCTAAAGCAATCAGCAAAACCTTGGGCCAAATACTGAGATTCACATTAATTATAATGAGATGAGGCTTGCATATGTAGCAGTAAAGTACAGGAGTGATCAGTCTGCAAACTTTATTTTCAGTTAGTGGCGCCAGGGCAACTGACTGTTTTACTGTAATTTTATAATACACATTAAAGAGAGTTCACCTCTATTGTTTTTTTGGGCAGCTTTGTGGGATGTGTTTGGTCATTTGTCTGAATAGCCCCAGGGTTTCTGATGCTGTCCTGTTCCCATGCTTTCAGAGCCTGTGCAATCTTACAGCCTCGGGTGCCCCAGCTAGACGGCTCACTTTTACACACAGACTAAAACTGCTCACAGTTCACTCTACAGAACAATGAGATTTCAAAGAGTGAATATCTGTTTGTGTATACATGTGAATATGATGATTTCTTAGCTTCTTGCTTTTAATATCCAGTTATGACATTATTGGTATGGGTTAGAAATTAATTATTTTTGGGTTATAGTGAGTATATTTGTGTAAGATATTACAGCACCATGTTATACAGACGTAGTGGTAATAAGTCAGGAATTGGCACACAGTCTTCTGAATCAGGATATTAGGGGGCATTGTGTACCAGAGGTACTTTCTTTTGGCTTAACCACAGAGCTGACCATCTGTGGTCATAAAAGATCCTGGGAATATTTTTGTAATAACCTAGTTTAGTGGCCAAATTTGATTATGACTAATGACATTTGAGTAAACTTTCCAAAATTACTACTATTACCTCTCTTATAAAATATGCTTTGTCATGTTCTCATGTTGTCGTATTTATATATGTAATTTTATGAATTTTAATCTGCTATTAATCATAAAAGTTCCAAACAAAACTATCATTGCAGATTGCAAAGCTGGGGAACACTCACATCCCTTGTGAATATTGATCATTATAACTATGTATGTGTGCATAAGGCAGTTCAGACACTGCCTTGAAATTATTAAAGGTTATTGTCTGCAAACAATATGGCTTCTTCTGTCCCATTATACCTCTTGGGCATAAAAGTCACGAATCACTGTTCTTCCCAAACCTCCAATCAATCTAAACAATGCGAAGTTCAGTGATCCGCTGGGATATTATCAATGCTGTAAAGAATGCTGAATACAGGTAAAGATAAAGGGCCTTTTGTGTCCTCAGGAAAGAAATAACTGCCCTTCATTTCTGTTTGAATTTAAGATAAATATTAAGGTGTTTGACTAGTTGATTGAAATGTGATGTGATTTGGTTTTAATACATTGAAGGAACTATGTTTATTCCTATATTAATTTCCTTTGAAAATTCTTACTGGATATTTGTAGTTCACATACAGCTGATTCATACTTCTTTTTACTCTACTACATCTTAAAACAATACAAACATATCTGATGAATTTTGTAACTCTGCTGTGATATAGGGATTATATACTGACAAAACTTAACAGAGCATGCCTTCCTTGAAATAAAACAGAGGAAGATGTTTAATAACCATAGCAAAAATATTTTTCTAAGTTACCTTAGGATGATAAATAACAAACTAGAACAGGATCTGATGCATTTCCATTACTGATATTTTTTTATCCCTTCAGCAATGCCAGTCTTATCACCTCTGTAAATCAAAACCTTTTGAATTTCTGTGATGGAAATCTGAAGTGACATTGTGAGATATCAGAGTTGTCCCATCTAGGCAGTTTAGATTCCTCTGAGGCAGGCAGGATTTTTAAGGATGGGTGAGTGTAGGTAGAAGCTTAAAATTGAAAAGCTTTTCTCTCCTTTGCAGGCAACCAAAAAGAAGTAATTATTCCTTTGTATCTTCTGGCAGAGCCTAATGCCTATAATGATAAAAGTATTTTGTCTGAAAAAAAACCCCAAAATGCACAACACCACTCCACCAGCTATTAAAGTGTCATCTGACTGCAGGGTTTTTACATTGCTTATGGAAAGCCAAACACCTAACTTTGAGCTCTTTCAGTAGCTTATTCTTGAAGCTGGGGAGAGCTGGATCCCTCACAGAGGCATTATAAAAGTAGAAGCTTCATTTGTGATTGAGGAAGGTCAGCAGTGGAAGGGATGCAGCCATGGCTGGGTGCATTTACACAGTGGACTGCATGTGACATGCAAAAGTCAGGGAAGTTGTAATGTATCCTGGATTCTGGCAGGGAAAAGGAGACAGGCCCCCAAATAACTGAGACAGCAAGCTGAAAGCATGATGACTTAAAATGACAGGCAAAAATGGCTTCTATGGTTATTCCCACCCACCACAGAAAACCCATGGCTTAGGTATCCAGTGAAAAAGCCACTCTCACTGACTTGGAAATATACTGGGCAAATAGAGGACAAAGGGAAAATATGACACAGTAACAATATTATATTATTGATATCAGTGTCTCCTTGCCCTATAGGTCTGAAGTTTGAGGAAATGCAAGAAAAGTTTGGGGAGGAATTCTTCAATATCTGCTTTGATGAGAATGAAAGAGTTCTTCGAGCTGTAGGTGGGACCCTTCAAGACTTCTTCAATGGCTTTGATGCTTTGCTGGAGCATATTAGAACTTCATTTGGAAGACAGGCCACCCTGGAATCCCCTTCTTTCCTATGCAAAGAACTCCCTGAAGGCAATCTCATGCTTCATTACTTTCACCCACATCAGATTGTGGGATTTGCAATGACAGGAATGATAAAAGCAGCAGCAAAGAAGATTTACCACTTGGAAGTGGAAGTAGAACAGGTCACAAATGATAAGCTGTGTTCAGAGGGGACAAACCCAGGTAACTGCAGTTGTCTGACTTTCCTTATCAAAGAACACGAAAATGCAAATATCACAAAAGCACTTCCACCAGGAACTTCCCAGTCCCCTTTAGACCTGAGGATTAGCATCAGCACCTTCTGCAGAGCTTTCCCCTTTCACCTGATGTTTGATCCAAACATGCTGATTCTCCAGCTTGGAGAAGGTCTTAGGAAGCAGCTCAGATGTGACACTCATAAAACCCTGAAATTCCAAGACTGCTTCGACATAGTTTCTCCTAAAATCAGTGCCACATTTGAACGAGTTCTCCTGAGATTATCTACTCCCTTTGTCATTCGGACCAAACTTGAGGATTCCGACTCTGAAAGTAAAGATAAGGTAAGAACATTAATTTGCAAGGGGATGTGCTTATATGTGTGTGATGGGAGAGGATTATTTACTCAGAGAAAAGCAGCTCAAGTCCTGTGCGCTTAGAAAGCTCGCTCACGCCTTGCAAAAAAGGTCTAAGTGATATTCCCCAGCCAAGTGAATATTTTCCTAAATTATTTATAAACTTTGCCTGCGATGCTGTAGCAAATTGTGACATTGCCATTCAGAAAATTCCGCAATGTGGAGTTGAATAGTGCTGCTTAAATCAAAAGGATGAGGAATTTTATAAAATACCTATAGGTAATCCTTAATTTCACTCCAGCTATATTATGGTAACAATAGTAGGTTTTAAGGCATTTACTAGGGAGTAGCTTTCAGTAGTTTTTTTGAAAGATTCTCACTGTAGGGGTATCATTGCCACTTTATTATATCTTATTTTCCTGTTTTGGAATGCTGCTTTCCTATATGTTTCTTCTTACCTCTCACCCCGCACTCAAGTAAACAAGAGCTGTAAGTGGTACAGAGCATCACTTATGCCAGTTTTAATGCTTTTCAGTCATTTAAATAGGCACTTGTCCTCCTACACTGCCTTTTCACCTCAGTGTTGTAGGAGACAGCTGCCTTAACTAGTGAGCCCTGTGTTGAGTTCAGTGCACTCCAGGTGAATAAGCTGAGAATGCGTCTTTAGAGGGTACTTCTCCAAAGGTTGGATGGAGTTTGTCTCATTGCCTATCCTTGAATTACAGGAATGCTTCTTGGTGTGAAGCTGGGTTCCAGCTTTTATGCACCAAGCTACATAAGGCTAACACTAAGGCTTGCTTAAGGCTTGTGTGTCGATGCCTTGGAAACACTGCTGCCGTAATTGAATGAATTATTAATTTCCAGGAGTTTTACGAGATAGCCCCCAAGAATACTCATTTCAATCTCCCTAGACACCTAAGTTCTGCCTATGGGTGCAACATTGACCATTTAGGTGATCTGGATACAGCTTGAGAAACTCTAGCCTAGTTTTGCTGCCTGCACTGGGTCAGCATTTTAGAAAAACTCCTGTGGTAATCGCATATTGAGTTCTGGGTTCTTTTCAGTTCACCAAGGTGATAGTCCCAGTGCAGGCACATCCCACAGAGCAGTAGAGGATTGCAGTTGAGCCAGAGGAACCCCAGGGAGTGCCAGAACCACCAGGAGCTGGTAGCTTTCACCAGAGGGGCTGTTGAGGTATAGGCAGGGCCAGGAGTAGCAGCAGTCACCCCCTACTCCCTAAAGACAGCCCTAGGGGGTGTGAGACCTCATAGCACCATCTAGTACATAGAGGAGGCCTACAAGAAAGCTGGAGAGGGACTTTTCACAAGGACCTGTAGTGATAGGACAAGGGGGAATGGCTTTAAACTGAAAGAGGGTAGGTTTAGATTGGATATTATGAAGAAATTCTTTATTCACTGGAACAGATTTCCCAGAGAAGCCGTGGATGCCCCATCCCTGGAAGTGTTCAAGGCCGGGTTGAATGGAGCTTTGAGCAAGCTGGTTTAGTGAAAGGTGTCTCTACCCAGCGCAGGGTGGAACTGGATGATCTTTAAGGTCTCTTCCGATCCAAACCAATTTGTGTTTCTGTGATTCAAAATATAGCCACTTCTTACAGCAGTGATGGTTTCCAACTCCTCTTTGGTACTACTCTTTGGATGAAACAACAAACCTGTTTCTGGTGCATTTTCCTCTGGAAACAATATGTTCCCTCAAGAGAAGCAAACTAGTGCTTTTCATTTTGAGTTAGTTGATGTAATTCGATATACTTGAAATCAAAAGGGAGTTTGACATAATTATTTCTCATGTGAAAGAGTCTCGTTTCATACACCTTCCTCCTGTGGAGTCTGCTTATCCTTCTCAGACACCTTCCCCTGCCCTGGGGCAGTCGCAGCCCTTCAACTGTCCTCTGCCCTTCATGAATCCGCTGTAAATCACTCTGAAAAAGAAGACAATTTAGGTCTGGGAGGGAGGCTTTTAAAGCCTTTTCCCCTATTTAATTGTAAGTTAAACACAATATATTCTCTTAGCTGGGCAAGTTTCATATTCTTGTGGCTTGCTCTTAGGAAAAGTGGCAGGAGTGGAGCTTGCTAGGGGCACAGTTTAGCAGCCAGTTTGGGAAGCAGCTTTCACTTGAAATGGTTTTTCTGTACCATCAAGCCATACAGTTCTGAGTGCATCCTTGTGTCATTGCTGTGGTTTGTACCATGTGTCATTACAGGTGGGTAATGAATTGAATCAGTGCTGGGTCCACTTACCACTTGGGAGAGTGACCCTCTGTATCTTAAAGTCATGTGTAGAGTGAGACCCTGGACAGCAAGTGTCAGTACTAGCACCATAGAAGCAGGTAAAAGGGGATGGCAGTAAAAGAAATCCTTTCTCTGCCAGCAGTTAGGAGAAAAATTGTGTCTTGAAGAGTAAGGTGTAAATGAAAGAGAAAAGGGTGATGGTGAGGTGCAGGGGAGCTAAGGTAAGTGTTGTGCTGCAGGCATAGGAATTAATTTGAGAACATCAGTTTAGCTAAGAGATATTTTCTTCTGTCTCAGACATTTTATAAGCATTTTACAGAAGTTTTTGTTTGCAAATAGTTATAAAAACGGTCAGCATGTGATGCATTTTGATAGATATTACCTTTTTTAAAAAATGAAAGGTTTCACAGTTTTGGAACCTGTGGTTCTCTTGCTTACATAGGTTTTGAGAGAAGAGACACAGCAATACAGTTTATGTCATGCTGAAGTCCTTTATGGATAAAAAAAGTAGACTGAGCCTTGGGAACTGCGTGCCGTATTATTTTCCCATAGCTCACATCACTCACATAGCTTGTTTAGGAATTCTTTCCAGTTTGCAAACACTTGTTTGGAAGTCGAATATTAGGCAGGTAGATCAGTGGCTGTAAGCATGACGCTGCTTAAGAGTAATGAGTTACTGACTTAGGTATTTACCTATTTCTCTTTAACACACCTCTATTCAGTTCATACTGCAATTGCATAGCACTTATAGCTGTTTATCTCTCTTTTTTTAGAGAATTCTGGCTTTGCAATAACCACCACTTTTCAGACTTGGTTACCTTAAATGACAGTTGTAGGCATGTGACTCAGACAGCTCTGCTGCATTTTCGAAGCTGTTCAGATAGCTTAGTGTTTCCTCAAAAAAAAACCCCAAAAAAACCAAAAAACAGCCAAAAAAAAACAACAACCAAACCAACCAAAAAAAACCAATTAAAGGGCTTTGCAATGAACAGAAGACCTTTATCTTCATTTCAATACATAAATTACATATTTTTTTCAGATTTGCAGTGAGAAAGATTGACACCAGCTCTGTGTTAAGTTGAAAGTAGATCACAAATCATGATCTTTCTCTAACTAAACACCCATAAGCAAAATGAAAGATCCCACCTGTCCTGACTTTCAGGGTGCTTAGTGCTTGTCCCATTAATATAAAGGCTTTTTTGTGTGTTTCAATTTACTGGTATTTGAATCACTGGAATAAATAACACTATCCTAAACGTAAGGCCTTTGAGGTCTGGGTGATAAGTGACACACTTCCTGTGGAGCTGTATATACATACCTTTGCAGAAGCACAGCCTCATGCATTAATATCTCAGCAAAGCTTTCATTAATTTGATAGTTTTGTTAATTTGATGTGTCATCAGCTATTCCTTGGAACTCATAGCATTTACAGGACCCCATTGTTCTAGGGACCAAACAGGAGAAAAGAACTCCCCACTGAAGAATATGGAAACTTAGCTTTAATTCCAATTTTCAACAGTATCTGTACTTCTGAGTCATAATTCTAATGTTTTAGTGTTTGCTTGGCTGATATTTCAGCTCCATTATACAATAAACACGTGGACAATGTATTCCACAAAGCACTAAGCATTAGGTCTTCACTCTTACTGACTTTACCTGTACTTATAAGTTTGCAATTAAACCCACTTGTAAGCCTGTGGATAATTGAATTCTACAAAGTAATCTAGAGTAAGACAGGATGCGATGATTTGCTTCCATCCTTTCTTGCCTCCATCCTTCTGTCCTTCAATTTTATTTTCTGCAGTGATCAAGTTACCCACACTACTGCTTTGGGTTTTTCCTCTTGATTATTTTGCATGTTGAAAATTTTCTATATGAACAATAATGACTGTCTTTAGATCAGGATTCCTAGTAAAGAGGTATTTAGATGTATAAAAACTTAATTTCTGAGGTTTCCCATTTTTTCATGCAGCTAAATTGTAATTGTTTTTTGTTTATAGAAACATTCTGTTGTTTTTCACATTTCAGACTAGTTTTTATTTAGGGGTTTTTTGTGCTTTTAACTGGAGAGCTTCATTAGCATCTGGTCAGATTTTCCAAATTTTGGGTATTATCCCTAAATAACAAGGTCATAAATGTTGCTATTTCACCTCCCTCAGGAAACTCATTCTAAACCTCCCTCTCTGGGAGCAATTATTTATTGCAACAATCAAAAATACATTTATTGAGACAGGTAACCATTTGGGATTGATAGCTTATAGCCTCACACATATTTAACACAACAGTACTTCACAGTAGTTTAAAGAATGTTAGTGGAATCACGTATGGAATAAGAAATAATTTAAGCTGAGAGGACTAGGTCTGAACTGAGTGTTCTCAAATCCATGTCAAGCCCATCCACTGAGGTTTCCTTCCCATGAAGGTAGTGACATGTGAGAGAGCCAATAACCCAGTAGTAAGTTGTGCATGTAGAGGAGTAGAGGTTGGTGTCCCTCCCACCATTTCTTGACCAGACAAGGGCTGGAAGCACCTGATAGGTACTTCCTGAGTGCAGTCGTTTTCTGACTATAATAATGAGCAAGGCCATCTGTGACAAGTTATAAATACTCGTCTCCTTGACAGTACAGTGAGATGGCTGGAATTGCTTCAATTTTTAGCTGAATGGGAATACAAGGAATGACTCTTCTGGTATTCTGCTTCTGGCTAACGTCCTCCTCACATGCCACTCCTGTGCCATAAGTG